TACTAGAATTTCTCCTCCTCTTTGTCTTTTTTAGTAATAATGTTTTTAATTCATCTTTGTTTCAAATCTATCAATATATTTCAAGTAGTAGCTTTTGTAGCCATTTAGCTTCTCTTTTTACTAGCAACAATCTAGTTTGTAGTGTCAAAAACACAAAAAGCTATCAAAAACGTTCAGAGAAAATCGAACTTTGATTTCACTGTCAAAAACAAAAACCACGAAAAAAAACTGTAGATAAACGTTCACAGAAAATTGTAGATAAAATTTGGAAAACACAAAAAGCTGTCATGAACGTTTAGAAAAAACGGAATTCTTCTTTCATTGTCAAAAATATAAAACACAAAAAAATTAAAGACTTGATTGATGATCTTTTTAAAAAAATGTCATAAAAAAACCCAACCACAAACTGCTATAAACTTCTGAAAAAAAATTTAAAAAAATGTTAAACTTCGGTCACAAATTGTAAATCACAGACATCAGAACGAAATCTGTGCTCTAATAGCAATTTGTTACAGGTAAATCAAAAGACACATGCCCAAGTAGACGAGAGACATATAAAGTGATTCACCCTTCAAAGTGCTACGTCCACGATTGGAACACGTGAGAGAAATTATTGACAACTGAATGTGATCCGTACAAAGTAGAAGCATTGGGGTATATATATACTGTACCCAACACAAGCCACCAACCTAGCTATAGATAGTTAGAACTTGAGATTATTTCTTAATCGGAGTTAATGTCAACACTGTTAGCTAAATCTATTTTTTAAGTTTAATTTATCTGGTTAACAAGACATTTTTAAATCATATAAAGCATTATTGTAGCCATAAATCATAAATCAAATTTAAGTTGAAAAAAGAATTATAGATTGAGATGCCCTTACATTTCATGTTTACTCAACTATATCAAACATTTTAATTTTTCAAAAATGTTTGATATAGCTTTTATTATTCCAAATGTTTCTTAAAGCTTACTTATATTTTAAATCATTAATTTTTGCAACTCAAAGCTAAATGATAATACATTTAAAATTTAAATTGGACAATGATTTACATTATGTAATATAACTAGAAATAGAAGATGAAATTGTTTTCAATATGTGCAGATCATGAAAAAAAAATGTTTTTTATGTATATGAAGACAGCGTAAACTTCTAGTCTACTCGTTCATAGACCAAGACAACATAAACTAAAAGCTTTGACGTACCAAAAACACAATTGAGTTTGTGCATGAAGAAATATCATATCTGCATGGATTAAAAGTCAATCATTGGTCAATTTGCCCGCAAATTTTCATTGTTGAACATTGTGTTTCGGTTTAAAGCTTTGTGACTTGCTCAAAGTTGTGTCTTGCATAAGATTGTAGAGAATTGCTTGATATGTTGAACAACACTCAAATTCACATGACATGATTTACCACGATGTTGAAACGTGATGATCTTCGTACTAATTGAAGATCAATGAAATTGATTTTTGTGAATTCAAATCAAGAAGAAAGCATCAGCATGAAAGAGAGACAATTTGAGGTATGGATTGAACTTGTGAATTTTCAACAAATTGCAAGCTCCACAAATATAAGCAATATTCAAACCAATAAAAGAAATTATAAACTTCCAGCCCGTTTGGTCTATGAACGAGCATACCAATGATGCAACAACAATTTGGACCAGATGACGGTCGGTTGTTTTCTATGCATCAATTTAGGCACTGAAACACGTAGCAATTTAGAGACTTTAGGCGGCTGGGCATATGATCGTCTAAATTGCGCTTGCCTTTCCATGAATCAATGTTGCATAGAAGAGACAAAAATCTTCTTGGCAATATACATGAAAGGGGGCTCATACTCCTATGCTGCTGATTTTCTTTTTCCACCCTCTCCCCCTTATGTCATCCCCTCCCTTTAATTCTCACCACCTCCGTCTCCGCCTTTTGGATTTCCCCCTTTCCTTGTAGCGTCACACCATGAAGCCCCCTCCCGAGGTCACTTACGACGATGTCGATGTCTTGAAGCCTGCTTACGTACAGCACGGTGTCGCTCATCTCTATAACGTCAACACCAAGCTTTTTCCATGCTCTCCATTGTATAAGCCGGGGGCTAGGGCAAGACGTCAAGGAGGCAAATAGGCGTCGGGGAAACGTAAAAAGGTGTCATGGAAGAAAGGAGGGTGGAAAAAGCAAATCAGTAGAATGGGAGTATTAGCACTCTTCATGAAATTAAGAGTACTTGCAAAATTTTGTAGATTTTGATGGATCATTTTATCTTAGACATCTTCTAGATGAAAAATATATTTTAAAATGGTTATATTGTGTAATCAAATCTCTCCTTATTCTCGTAAACTAAGTTGATCATATATGCAAGTATGATTAATAAATACCCCATTTTTTTAAGGAAGAAAAATTATTAATAAGTTTATTTCTTCAAAAGATATGTAAAAATAACTTTTTTGCAAATATCAATTTTCTTATTTGTTGAATTATGGATATACAAGATGTTTGATTTTTTACTGTTATAAAGAAATAACTTTATGGAATTAAGAATGATATATTGAACAGCTTGATAACAATAATATCATAGATTCTATGATGTTTTGTATCATATATTAACTACGAATATCTCAGTATACATTGCATATAAGTGGATGAGATTCATATGAAAAAAAATCTTGCTCTATGCTTGAGTAATATGTAGACTATATGAATATTTCAGCTACAATAGTACATATGATCCATTCTGATAATAGCGGACTTACTGCCATCTTATCAATGTATGATTCTATGGAATGTTCTTAACTTTTAACTTTTAGCTTTTAGCTTTGTGATTTAGTTTTCTCTAGTACTTACTCAAATGTTCATACATATGACAACTGACATTTTCACATCAACCCTCATGTCTATTCAGGTATGTGTATCAGATAGTTTGACAAGAAATTTTATCGTCCTTTTTTATTTATTGGATTCTTGTTCCAATGTACAATAAAGGGTGGGCAGAAGACTAGGGATCAGAGAGGGTCTCATGGGTCCAACATTTATATCCCAATGCTAATTTTATGTAAAAATTGCTTTGGAATGAATGGAAGATTCTTGCTCATAGCAGCCTTTATGTAGAAGGAAATTTTAGGTCTCTTCAAAAGACCACTACACTAATTGGGGTGATGCACCATAATTTAATCTTACGCTATATTGGACAAACTGCTTTGTTGCTGTCGAAAGTATTAAAGTACTAATGTTCTTCATTTTCACAGATCTCAAATTTAACCGATTAAAGATCAATCATATAAACCCATCATGCATTTCTTAAGTAAAATACATGTCAGCGAAATATCTCAGACGAAACTTTAGATCATGAGTGTTTTATTTTCGTAAAAGAAAGTCAAGATAAAAGGAAGAAGAGAGTTAGAAAATTAAAATACTTTTTCAAAGAACCTGATATGAATAGGTATAAGGGTGTTTCATTTCAATTATGATTTTGATGAAGTAAACCACAAAATTAAAATAATTTTATGAGTGTGGGGTTGATTTTTCTTTTTTCCATTTTTCAAAATTTAGTGGTATATTTAAACACACAGGCGAGTGACACTTTCCGTACATTAGGATACATCTCTTATAACTAGTTATCTCCACTATACAAGAATATCACCACTTTGGTTTTTTTTACAAAGTCTTGATAAGTTTACAGATTCCTTTTGTCAAGGATATTCATAATCATTCTTGAAAGATTGAACCATATACAACTTGTCTTACAGCTAATTTTTTTCCCCTTTATGTGCTTAAAATTTGTATGTAATCTTGATCGATTTCATATGATTCATTCCTATTTACAAATGATGATGATGTAATTTTCTAAAATCAGCTATTCCACTATGTAAGAAAATAAGTTGGTAGATTTGCGAATCAAAATGACGAATTTTGGTACTTCAATCGTACCTGACAGATGGAATTTATTAAAACCTGAGTAGTTGTGACCCTATTAATTTCTGGTCTGATGTTAAAATTATTCACAGTATCGATCTTAGCTTGCAGTAATACAAACCGGGATGTGGAGAGTCGCATTGATCGTTTCATGTATGCTATGTTTCAGAGTTTTAGCATTTATTTTGAATTGTAATATACTTCGGGTTGTCGTAGATGACATGCTGAAACACGTAGCCCTCATGCGCAGGGAGGTGACACCCAAGAGTGAGTGACGCATTCAACAGCGCGACCAATTTAGAGACTAGAATTTGATGCACGATCGATCTACAATCAACGTGTCCCTGTATTAATTTTAGATTAAGGAGGATCGTTCTCGCTGCTGAAAGTCGCATCATAGCTGATGCCCAAAAAAATTTGGTTTTAGATCCGCCCCGTCAAAACTTGAGGCAAAATGATGCCAAAAAAATTTGGTTTAGATCCGCCCCGGGGGGCAGGAAGCCTTAACCTCATGGTGTGTGAATGGCCGAAGCCAATTCCCGTCCTTGTCAAGGGGGTTGCTAACCTTCTCTCGGCTCAACGAACACAATATATCCCTCCGGTCACTGACCTTATATAGTCAAAGCTTGCAACCCTTCCTCCACTTATGGTTTTATCGCTTCAGCAGCCAACTGTTCCGACAGACATTTGTCCACGTTATACTCCTCGGCAATGACACACTAATTATTACTACCATGTCACTCCGCATCAGGTCCAACCAGTTTACTACCACTCCCGTCCACCCACCTTTCCCGGGGATTCACATTCACACCAGTGTACTAATCAATAACGCTCCGTATCCAGACCTGGGTGTACTGACCATTGTTGTTCGGTCCATTTCGTATTCGTTCTACTTTTCAGAATTGAGGTTGGAGGAACAACTCTCTGGAGTGCGCTCGGCGTGTGTTTTGGTAGAAAAATATCATGTGAAACAACACATAGAGATCGAACACCGTGTCGTAAAAAATATTCGCCACAGATAAACTCAGCTTTCTTAGGCATCTGATTTGTAATCATTGCAAGTGTAGTATGTTCGATCTCGGAAGGTGATTGGGTTTGACGGAGAGGCGATTGTAGTTTTATTGCCAAATGTTGATTTCTGTAAAATTTTGGAGGGCGTTGATTTACGCCACAAATGTTTCCTCGTAAAAACGAATTAATGGGATGAGAAAGCAATTCAGGGAGCTTCATTCTCACTTGTCACCTGAAGCTGCTGCAGTTGACTCGATAAGACACGGTTTTAGGATCGTGACGGAGTGGAAACTTAAGAACGAGACTCTCACAAGATCTCAGGATCTACATATTCTCGTGCATGATGGCTGGCGGCCTCTCTTAGTAGGTGTTTCCGCTCGGGTCAAGGCAACCATTTGTGAGGAATCTCCGCTGTAGGTTCCACTCCGATGTGCCAGAATCGCTGATTATCGTCACAGTATTCTCACTGTTAAACTGTCCACCTGCAAGTTACGAGCTGTTTAGAAATGGCATGGTTCCGATGAACTTCTGAACAGTATGTGCCATAGCCAGCAAAACACCGTCTTACCTCTCGGCTGCGGGGGCCGCGACAATGGACTCAAGAACAGTAATCAGTCAACTGCAACGCTTAGGCTCCTCCTGGATCAACTTGTTCCCTCTCATCGTTGCATTCCATACTCTGCCTCCAGATAATGTGATGTGCCGAAAGGAATAACCCCAATGACGCAGCCACTCCTTCGATTGGCCGTTTAGCTCTTTCCTACTCGCTGAAAATATATGCTTCCATAGACAAAAAGTAAAGGTTTGGACGCTGGAGGCGGCTATGCGTGGCTTGTCCCTCGTACATAAATCCATCAAAGCCGTTGTAAGTTCCCAAGGCTGACTGACTGTCAACTTCAGTCCAGAGGCAATGCGCCCACACACCTTGAGCAGTAGTATCGTACAGAACTGAGCTAAGATGAAGCACCTGGACCTAGAGGGGAGAAGGAAAGCATGGCACGTGGTGCGAAGATAGGCGACTGGGATCTTATTGTTGATCGAGGGACCCTGGCTTCAGGTGTCACGGACGATTTCGGAAGATTTTTGGTATCAGAAGGAGGTTTGGGTGGAAGGCTGTGACTATGCTGCTGCGGCTCCTTGACAATGACCGGTGGTTCTGCAATGGGACCCCCGTAGAAGATGGATGTTCCACTGTATACAAGGTTATCGGGTATAAGAGACGAGCTGGGCAGACTAGGAGACACATCGTGTGTCGAAGTGCTTGTCTGGGAAGGAGAAAATCGTTGCGACGGTGAATATCTTCCAGCAGCGTACTCAGAGGATACTGGATCATCGGAAAGAGAAGAGGGTGTTGCGGAGGGCTCAGGCCAAGCACGTCTGCTATTTTGGGTGTACACTGAGGTACTACTCGTTCCGGTGTGGTCGCCTCCATCGCCTCTGCCGCGTGCTTTAGGAGGATTGTATCTTCCTGAAGACCTGTCCCAGTACAATGCAGCTTGCTTTCCTTCCTTCACGGATAAAGTAACGTGATCTGGGAGGACTCTTCCTCTCGATGGATACTGATTGATGCGAGGGAGAGCTGCATCGTCTGCACTCTCGCCACTAGAAGCTTCATAACCATCACTGGAAGCTGCTGGTCCACTCCATGCTCGTGAGAAGTCTGCGGAGGAATGAGACAATGCTGATGCATGGTGGGCAGGCAAATGCGTTCTGATGTGCGAAGCGCCCACCATGATAACCGGTGCGCCTACTTCTTCTGGATTTCTGGTATTAGGCCCAGACATCCGCATCCCGGAGGTGGACGAAGAAGGTCCAAACCTGCGCTCTGCAGGAAGAGGGCTCAAGGTAGTAGAATCGGTAAGAGTGTGACTAGGACTACTGCCGCTGCTTCTACTGCGATGTCCTAAGTCGGTGGGTTCATAATGAACACTAGAATCATCCCGGGTGGTGCGAATGGCAGGGAGGTCAACTTTTACAGATCCCAAAGACGAATCATCCCTGATCCTCCGTTTACTGTTCAGATAGTCAGCACTCATGCTGCTTCTGCTACTCATGTTACTGCTCGAAGTGTATTCCCCTTCCACAATTCCATAGTCCCGGGGACCTAGTTGACGTAAGATCGAAGAATTTTCCCGAGCCTTAGCGGCAGCTCGTGTTGCGTCATCTGCGTTAAGCTTTGCCAGCTTCCACGCGCTGATTCTCACCGCGCCTTTCTTGTGCCTGTTGTCATGTCTAGTAAGCGCACTTCCAGCGTCCGGGTCAATAGTCGATGGCACTCTCCCTGGCCCCAAATGAGGGACGACTTCGTCCTGCAATTCATAAACTTGGGAATTACTAATAGATTCGAAAATGCTAATTGGGGTCCACAAATTACAGAATCGCACAGCTAGAAATCAAAGCTTTCATCAAGATAAACCAGCTCACACATGACGTACTTGGTGCTCAACAAACACTCTCGGGGGTGTACACCAGGCACCCCGACTGTATTGAAGTCCCAGTGAACTGGAACCACTTAACCCGGTAGCAGTCGAACTCGAAGGAGAAGTTGGGATGCTATGGGGTTCTCCATCAATAGACAAGCCTTGCGGCTCGTTTTGTGCTCTCATCGCGACTACATACTCATAAGTTGTTATTCCCTGGATGCAACGAACACGACATTGAGTTCCTCAAAATCTCACTTGCTATTTGCATCTTTTGAGACGACAGGACCGGTATCATCCGAATTTTCTGCAGCCTCGCATTAATAATATGGCCCTGTACGACTATTTCAAGCGGGTCTAGAAATCATACCTTTCTGATCAAGATCAGGTGGAAGAAAAAGAGTTCTCCCAAGGGTATGGAGGCAAGGAGCGAAACCAGTGTACAGATGGCCTGAAAAAACAAGTTTGGCGTACTTAGTCCTCCATGCTCCTGATATAAGAATCTCAAGTAGTGCACAACATGTCCCCGCTCAAACGTCGCTTGTAGGTTACAAATACTGCTTATCGACGATGTCATCGACCTCCTCGCTACGCTGTCTATCGAACGTGGACGTAGAAACCATGGATACATATTAAAAATACCGTTGAGAATCTCAATTGGTATACACTCCAGATTAGGGTGCTGCCTCATTGCGAGTAAGACATCACTTTGAGAGAAACTCACCACTACTGTGGCGAAGGGTGCTCGAGAAAAGCCGTTGCCAAGTTTATCGATGATTTGATGTTCTATGCCTCTCTTATCAACGAAACATCGCACTAAAACGGCGATTCCGACTCCCCACTCGAGCACCAGCTGTAAGCACCATGCGAACCCACCATTCATCACTTCACACATTAATGAGAGAGCCAATAACTACCTACAGAGCCTCGTGATGCAAGTTCGTTGTTGAGAACATTGTGGTGACAACTCTCTCTAACAGCTCATGGTATTCCAATCAGTACAGAATTCACAATAAGGAGAGATTTTTGAGTTCCCCCAAACCTCCGGGAGTAGTTTCTCTCAGATCTAAGTAGAGACAAAGCTTTGCTTAGAGACTCACCAGCGTAAGGCTTGTCGCCATAAGGGCTACAAATGTATTATAATTTTTCCTTCCAACGCAATTATTCAGCCACTGCACAACACAAACAAAATTTTGATTACAACTAACTCAACCGCCCAGTATCTACAGCATGAAGTGAATTGGCAAGCACGGAAAAGAACAACGATTGTTAAATTGTTACTGGGTAATAAGCATACTCTGCAATGGTGATCAAAGCCGTCAACACACTTATCGCAGCTTCGACAGTGCTTGCTGAATTTGCGAACCTGCGAGTCGATAGTTCGGAGGCAAATGTCAAAATCCACTTCTTCAAATTCTACACAGAATGGACAAAAGTACCAAGGCATGCGTGGGACGTGTAACGGGATTGCTTCCACCGATACTAATTCTACTGACAAGCTGCCCCCGTATCGGAGCTACACACAAAATTATGGGGACGGTTCTGTTATTATTTCAGGAGGTATTTGGTGGAAGTGTGTTTGTTCCAGTAGATGATAAGCCGTACCTCTGCGTTGCACAACGTGCAAAATAGAACGTCCTCCTCTGCCACGGGTTGTTGTAGCTTGAAGTCGTCCTTACAGCTATCGTCTTTTACGACCCAACCGCAGAATAAACAACAAATAGCTGTAAATGAAAAAGGATTTCTCTTTTTTCGCCATCCAATTCTCGGCTGATCACCATATGGCGTTTTGCGATCAAAGTGACTATCAGATGGCATGACCGAGGAGCTTCGTGATGGTGTTGATAATCCTGGAGACAAAGGACGGATTGTATCTGACGGGGTCATCCCAAGAGAGGCTTCCGAAAAGGATCCCTTTCTAGTATGTTTGGACAGAGGTTGACTGCCAAATACCCCGGGATCAGCTGGGTCGATCGCAGAGGAGCGGACGTATAGGAGGAACACCCCGAAGGCCTGTACAGAGGGTGAAGGACAAGGCCGGACGGCGTGAGTGGAATTCGACAAAAGGTGGAAAGAAAATGCAAGCAAGAGCGAATTTCGACATTGATGTTAAGGGAGAGATGAAGCAATTCAACGTACCAGGGGGGAATAGAGCACCAGTACGGCATATTCGAGTGCGTGGAACCACAAAAAAGGGGCCAGAAAGACGTAGAAGGCTACTGCCAAGAGGAAAAAGACTGTGATAGCCACCACCTGAACACGGGAAACAAATGGTGACCAAAATATGTTAGAAGGACAGTTCGAACCCACGAAAAATGGGCAGCAACAATTATCTAAGAGCAAGGGCGGGTAGGGCGAAACACGCGCATTGCAACACGCAACCCGTCAAAACCAGTTGGGTTAAAACTAGACGAGCCCAATCCTCGACTCGTAAGATCTTCGAAAGACTTCGTTGAATAGACGGGCAGACCGTCGATCGCAAGCAAAGAACGATTCACAGGCAAATACAGGGAGCTCCGTATTCACTCCAAGAGCTACATCGGCTCCAAAGTCGTTGACAAAGGCCGTAACTGATAAGTGAGCAACTGGGTTCGGACAAGCTAACCATGCTACTCGGCGTACCACCTTAGACAGATACGAAAGAAAACTGGGACTTCAACGAGAAGTTTAGGCATACAGTTCACACAATAGTGTGAATGAAAATGCAGCTGGATGTTGGATTCCAGATGGCACGCTCATTCTCTAAAGAAGCTCATGACATCGTCTCTTCGGCGACCAGGTTTACAAAGTCCGGCGGGCTGTAGTCAGAAGGCCTCAAAAGTCCTGCCTGATAGACCATCTGAGAGTGAAACACCTTTAGTACACACCGTACATGTCCTTGGTAATCGGGCAGGCCTTCGCTGGTGACAAAAACACCGAAAATATGTGACGCTGACGAATAAGAAATAAGATTCAACACCGAGCCGAGGCGGGATTCCGTGGTACAGGAAAGGGTCATGCGCAATCAGCTAAGAAAATGGCAAACAAGGTATGACCTCCAATTGCTAGCGGTCAACTACCGAAGTGTCACGCCACACTCGGCAGAGGCCTCCCATAGCAGACGATTAGTTCAAGAGTAGAACAATCAAACTTAAAATGCAAATTGGAATTGCTCCAAGGAGGAGAGTACACAATGTACTAGACCCGAAGGAGCATAAAGTTGTCATGTGGGTATACACCCATGGAGACGAGGTAAGCCACAGACATTAGAAGCGGCAAGGATGTAAAGAAGCACAGATACATGTAAAGACCAATCGGCTCCCGAGGTGAGGACAATTCGAGTTTAGTCCCGACAAGCTTTGGGCCTGCCTGCCATGCTGCTGCGATTAGCGAGGCCCTAACAAAAAATCAGATAAGGATAAATTCGCGTAGAACTCATTCGGTGGTATATTACAGTGAGATAGTAGTGGCAGACAGGTCTTGTCGATTAACTGCCGGCACAGGTAATACACTGCTGAGATCCACCATCTCTTTCAAAACGCGGAGCCTGGGACTGCCGTCGGCAATCAGGATCGGCAAATCCTTCCACCGAGTGAGACTGCCCGCGCGAAATGGGAACGACCAGTCTTTGAACACATCACATACACCATTGCGTCACCTGAAAGAGGATCGTTGAGCCCAGTACGGTATACAGACCTGGAAGGTGTGAGCCGGAAGCTGCCAACCGTGGCGCCGCACCATTTCCACGGCGTGCTGAAGGTGCACGCCTGTGCTGCACCGCCTGCATTCGTAGATCCTGAGGAGCTTCACCACCGCCTCACCGAACCTCAGAACTTAAAAAATCACCGACGCCTGCTCGGATGGCCGTCCTTTCCATTAAGGAAACTCGCCCACGGCCCACTCCCTCCCACTGCACAGTGCCTGCTCCCCACCCTTCACTGTCCTGCTACGGCAGCTCTGCTTTCCTTAGAACCGCCTTCCTACCCACGCCATTGCATCCTCACAACCTCCACTTGAGCGCATTCACAAACCCAAATCCCTCATATCCAGAAGCAATCCCTCCCCTGCTGCGCCCAACTGCCACACAATTCAGTTTCAATGCTCTCCATTCACACTCATTTCTCCACAAACTCGTCAAGACACATCCTGCGCCCTGCCTCCTGCCAATCAGTCATTCACTCATTCATTCCCCCGTTCGCTCGCTCGCTCACTCACTCACTCACTCATCCACTCCCTCCTTCCCCAACCCTTCCTCGGGCCTCTCCACACCACCACAATTTACCACCACACCATATCGACGCAACAAAACCCGCCCGCCAGAACCACAACCAGCGCCAGAGACCTCGGCCGGCAAGGCCACAAGCTACGAACCACTGTGAGAAAACAGCCGCATGTGCCAGCAGCAACGACCGTCCGAAGAGGCGGACCACCCTCTCGCGCACAGCCCAACGAGAACCCGCGAACGAAAGGCGGCTGTCCGGCGAGCAGAGGCAGGCACAGCAGCAAGACCTCGGATGGCCCCAGAATGCAGGACGATGGACGAGGAAGACAAGGCGGAGGACGAGCGCGAGACGCCGCACGCTGCGACTGGCTGCCGCTGCTCCTGCGGCTGCGCGGAGGAGGGCGAGGGGACGACACGAGACGAGAAGTTACGAGGCGGAGGCGAGAAATAGCAGCGGACGGGCGACGGCAGAGGGGGAGGCAAAGATTGGCCCGAGGGAGAGGCAGAGGAGCAGCGAGCGAGCGTCGGCGAGGAAATGCGGAGCGGGGCAGGGGCTGGGAATGGGGCAGGGGCTCGTGCTCGTGCTCGTGGTGGTGCTCGATGCGGATGCTGATGCTGCAGCGGCGACGACGACGACGAAGAGATGGAGCGCGCGAGGCTCCGGTAACATGGCGAGCGCGGAACGGTAATTTCCCTTCACGCGAGCGCTTCGCAGGACGACGAGGCTTTTAACGGCCATGCAACTCACGCAGGTCAAAGCCTCGGCCGGCCAGTTGTCCGCTCGCTGCGATCATTCTGGTCAGTTATTGTTCTCGCGAGCCCAGTCACTCACTCACTCACTCAGTCACTGCCTCCTCCTCCTCCGTCCCGACTCGCGTCTTGTGCGTGAAGCGAACCAAGCGAAGCGCAGCATCGCATCACACCATCGACTCTCTCTTCACTCTTTCACCCCTCCCTCCCTCCTGCTGCTGCTGGTTCCGCAGAGAGTCCCAGATGCTTTCCGCGGACTCCTCGCTGGATTGGATTGCCTTTCCTGATCCATCGGTTGCACACTCTTTCGCTGGTTTTATCTCGCAGTCCTTGACTTTTACCTCCCTGCGTGCGAGTCGGGGCCCTTTCCCAGGCCCTGGGGAAACAGGTTTCGCCTCGATCCGAGATCGATCTCGCCTAATCCAGCATCATGCTAATTGGCGCCTTCCATTAATTAGCTCCTGGCTTAAGGCTTTGCCGCTTCGTACCGATCCTTGATGATGTCGTTGAGCCTCTCGGCCACGACCGACAACGACATTCGGACGATTTCGACAGCCACCCTCGGAGCCATATATTGCTCAATCACGTTGAAAGTATATTGGGGGTCCGCATCAAGGTCCTTTTCACGGTTAGTCATCCACGGACGACAAATCGGACTGCAACTGAAGCTTTTACTCGAATACATAAATAAAACGCATATGATCTATTTATTATGATGGCGATATGAGCCTTATTCTCGTAGAATGTAGGCTAATGTTGCAGTTTTACTTTTGTTGGGTGTTTTGGTATTTTCCTCTACGCTTTACGGGCTACACAAATTAGTCACGTGTAAGATCGATAAGATATTCATGGGTTGGGGAGTATTTGTCTTCGGGCAGTTGGCCGAGCACCGGCTTTTTGGAGTTTTCTATCCTGAAAAGCCTATTATTGCGCTGTTTTTGTGGTTCCTAGCAGAATGTCCCCCAACTCCGTGGCAAATTTACGTGATTATATTGCAAGATCGTCTCTCTTCCGACATTTAATAAGTTGGACGTATTTCCCATTCGAACATGCAGATTCGTGCTTCATTCGGTAAAATATAAATCGAAAAACACATTCAGTAAGTTGCACATCGCAATCTGAAAGAGATGGAGAGTATGACTGCAGCTCGTGAGTAATGATTAGGAGCGGAAGTGGGTCTACATCACAGCAAAACATCGTCTCAGAAACATTTTAATTTTCAAAGCTCCTTGAACACCACCCATTAAAATATGCAACAATTCGCTCCTGCCTTCGCATATGGCAACGGAATCTGAGCGCAGTTGTAACGACAAAGCGAAGAGACAAATCCAATACGACAGTGCCACGTATCAAACTTTTGTCCTGGATTTTGTCTTATTACCGCCCAGATCCGTCAACCACTCACTGTATTTTCCTTGTGTTCTGCAGGACCACTATCGTCTTGTACAGGCGTCGCCAAAACGACGACGGCCGACCGTCAATTAAAATCCGGCAGATGTGCTTAGCATGATCATGTACTTAACCCGCCACGAACGAGGGTGCCCCGATCCTCTGTACAATACAGTACACAACAGCCGTGGTCCTCTCTCGTATGGACTACGGTCCTTCGGTCCGCGTACAAACGAGTTCCAGGTACAGAAACCGTTGCACCGTTCGTTAGGTCGTCAGCATGCCGATGGCCTGTATTCACCTACCTACCTCTAGGTTAGGGGTAGGTAGACGCTCTTTACGGCTCTGTCTTGGGGCAATTTGGCGAGTACAGTACTGCCGTAACTAGTCAGCGCTAGATTTAGCTGGTTAAGCCCAGTTCAGCCGAGGTCGCCGATTTCGGCTGAATCGGCTCATTCAACCGACAGAGGTACTGTGCAGGCCGATCACATCACTGCGGATGCGGCACACGCTCACCACATCCTTTCACCTGGTGAGCTATCGCCGTCGACGAGGGAGGAGGCTTTATTATTTGGGGGTAAATATCGCGCCGGGGGTTTATTTTCCTCCTCCACTTTCTAGGCTGGCCGTGGTGCCAATATTTAAGGGAAAGGGCGAGTCATTATTCCTTTTCGGGAACTCCTCGAAACTCAGGCGTGCCTTTTTCTCCTGGGCGGACCTCCCCTTTTGTTGCTTTCCGGGTCGCATGTCTCGGGTGTAAGAAACCATCTTCGTTCGCCCTTGTGCCCTTTTCCAGCTTTGTGTAAGACATCTCGATGTGCAGGCATGTGATTCCATCCGAATGACCCACCTCGATGAGATGCTCGAAATGAGGCTGGCTCCGACGAAGAGTACAAATCGTTGGCACACGATTTGATATCTCGGGCTAACTGTTCGTCCGCTCTTATACGAGCAGCAGCGATTCAATCCTATCTGATCCTCTCTCTCTCTCTCTCTCTCTCATGTACAACAGTGTGGTCTTGCTCTTCACCTCGATGGGGTCTTCCCATCCTGTTTGCTCTGTTAGTTGGTGTCCTTTTGACTTGATCTTCGTGAGATGAGTGCGATCCCCAATCGTCGTCTCGCACTGGGAAATATGTGTACTTCCAGAATGAACCAGATAAGGAGTTTGGACACGTAGACATCAGGCTAAGATTCCAGGACTCGAGGTCGCTCGTACAGCGCTCGGCAACTAGATGTAGATCTTTCTAACAGCTACAATTTCAGATTTCAAACTGCATTCCGACGAGAATGGGTAGTCATCTCATCATGAATCTATGCACATGTCATTCTCCAACATCCAAATCTAGACAAAAGTTTTCGGCGAAACATTCGTGCCTGTTGATGGAAGTGCGTGTGTTATGTGGCCTACTTCGCCTCTTGATTCTTTTCAGACCCTGGGTGTGAGCCCTTTGCAGCGATGCATTCGCCTCCACTTCTTACCAACTTGCGGCCAAAGCGAGCTCTTCACGTAGACGGAAGATAGGAGTTCATCATTCCATGTACAGTCTGTAATACGAGATCCTAGTTTGGTGCACTTGTAGGCGTGGCTTTGCAGTCCGACCTTTCGGGAGGACACCGTTGAGACTTCCGTTGACTGTAAAAGCTTTTCATCCGTCAAAACGATCGACGACCTCGTCCCATGTCGTCCCTCGTTTTCACCGTTGATTTATTGACCTCCATAGATATCCTACCTTCATGGGCCTATCTATACGCATGCCCTGTCGAGCCCGACCGTTTGGAAAATGTTGGCGAATCTCTTCGAAATTCCCAGCTTCGTTCGAATGACTTTTTTGGACTATAAGGTCGTTATAGAAGAATGATGGTACGAGCCATCTTGTATGCTATGCTAATGGATGTTCGTCCTTCCACTTTTGGCATGCAGGGATTATAGAGTACTCAGTACAGATAAACAAATGTGCCTTTTTATTTCTATGTAAATCAATGCAACTGCCGTCATTGGTCCAAAACATATGGTCGTATGTGGTGTCTCTAATCAGAGGAACTACATTCGTGATTTCGGAATTGGTTCATTGGTGCAATTTCGACATTTCAAAATGCATGCTATGAATATTGTGATATTATTATTGTACATCAAAATTACATACGAATTTAAATTTTTAGAAAATTTAAAATATGATACTTCAACTCGAATATACCGAAATTCTATGAAAATACATAAGCATTATGTTGAAATCAACCTAAACTAGATATATCAGATTTAAAGTCCTCCTAGACAAGGGATAGCCTATATTTTGATTCTCATACCTAATAATTCGTAAATGAGGAAAAACTTTCAGCATATAATGTCAATTTCTTGTGTACCAACACGCGCAACGTGTTTCTATATATTTGTGTTTTTTAGCTTTTGACCCTTTGGGTCCCACGGGCTTGATCTATTTACCATTTTCTGCATATAATGAGATAGAAGTGGTACGTAATAAACATTTGACCCGAAACTCAATTCCCTTTATCCAGAAAAGATTTTCGACCCAAGTGACCAAAAAACACATGAATAATGCATGTGCAGTTACCAAATTTAGCTAAAATAATGTCTCTGTAAAACCAGGCACTTCTCCGACACGGACCGTTGAATCCTCGCAGTTAACCAGGCCGTTCGCACATTCGTATCTGAGGCGCGTGTGCGCGCGCTCTGGTGTTTGATTGGGCTCATAGACAGGACGTGAGCGACCAATGGTCTTCCGCGTGACCTTCGGGGCCACAAACTCACACTTGGTGTCAACGGGTAACCGTGTAGATGAGCTCAGCGAACTTAACGAGCTTTTTGGGCGTACAGCTTATTCGCCTTTCCCCAGAGGCAAACAAAAAAGACCTCGGCCTTCAACAAACTGGCTTCCTGTTCGTTGCAGAAGTGCCAAATGTATAGAGAAAATAAGCCGCGTGAGACGAAATCTGATCGAGCAGATTGGTCGTTAGTAAGCGAGGGTAGGATCAAGTTCCTTGTCCAGGTCCCAGTAATCCAATCTTAAAAAGTTGCGGATTTTGAGGAATTGCAGTTATATGGTGATTCGTACCTACCAGGGGCGGGGGAAGTTTTGGACTTGCAATCCTCGAACCTCTTCAAAATTCACGTGTACACATGACGGGGATGACGATGAGCTTTCACTTGCAAAGGGATATCTCTTTTCCAGGTTCCACTCTGCCAGGTTCGCCTGTACTAAATCCTCTATATACCTCACCGGATACAGTAACAGCAAATAGAGCAACTGCATCACCACGTACACACAGAGAGAGCAGAGCTCGTCATCTTACGGTATGGCCTCCAAAGACAGATACACCTCCTGCCAGGAGAAGATTCGTTCGCGTAGGTACTCGATATTCTATGGAAGTAAAGTCGCACTTGAAACGTCCATCCGTTCATCAATGTATGTAACGAAATAGTGAAGGATGTGGAAGATCCACTCCAGGCCTCATCAATGAGATGGAGAAGGAGAGCGGGAAGTTATGGGAAATGTGAGCGGGGGAGTGAGTCACACAGGAGAGGCAGTTGACCAACCAGAGCCGAATTTACACATAACGAATATGTCTTTCCTCGACGAGCAGAGGAACAAGTGCTGTTATCATAATGGCCGTGGAAACTTTTGTCTTCCCGCTCTGAATCTTCTCTCGTTTCCTTCTCATGCTCCTCTCATCCACAGAGAAGTTCCGAGATTAGGGTGTCTTAGTATAAAGCCAACATGCTTCGAGGCCCCAAAATAATGATTTTGAGCCCGTTCTTTTCATGAAATTTTGTATTTGCTTTTAAGGCACATGTGAGTGTATCTGACTGTAGAATGTATGCGATCTCGTTTTAAAACCATTCCATGTCACACTCGAGAGTTTAGATCGAAACATTCTCTCCCGTGCTCGTTTGTAAATGGATTAAAAGGAGAAGTCGACGAGGGAAGCTTTTGAAGTAACAAGAAACACGAGGGAGCGAGGGAAGAAGACGACACGAAATCAGCGCGTGAATATTATTGGAGGGATCTCTACAGTTCTATCCCTAACGGTGGATGAGACACTTTGTTAATGACTTCGTTTTAATCAACACCTAGCAAATAAAGAAAAAAGTCCAACGGACGACCTAAAGCGGGAGAAGGCGCGAGGTGCACTGCAATCTCTTTATTATTTTGGATCCATTATTATCCAGTTCATTAGGACACCACAGCTGTAGATCCGATGTTTTCCCATTTTACTGTCATGTTAGAACGTCGATACTCACTCCATGGATGCGTTACAAGCCATATACCACTTGATTTACCCTCGACAATATATTATTGTCAATTTATGTATTCCGAGGTAATTCTAAATGAAAAATACAGGCTTAATCATTGTGAAGGTCTTCTCTCAGGCCTAGGTGCTGTAACAGTTTCATCGCACCATCGTAACATTGTGCCACATTAGAACTCATTGATGGCCTTCTCAGGTCTTCAACGTCGCAAGATTAAGTTTTTCTGCGGGTTTGTAATATTACAAAGAGTAGGTGTACATGGTAACTCTTCGGTCGTAGACCTAATGAAAATATTTTTTAGCATTATCCACTATTACAACATTCAAGTTGTGATTCGTTCGAAGATAAAAGTTGCAGTTCCACATCTTTTTAAGCTGAGAATATACTATGCTGTATGGGGAGAAAAAAACGCCTTGCATCAAACGCATGCTGGGAAGTAGGGGCAGAGAATGTCACCCCAAGTGCATTTGCAAGATAGAGAATGACACCAGCTACGAGCTTATCCCTCGAAACTTGTGCAAACACGCCAGTGGAAGGAGCGAGTTCTCTGGTTTCATGATTTTTCGGAGACTCGGTCCGTCTCTGCCCGGAGAATAATTGCATACGACCTATCCTAGAAGAAGGAAGCTCGGAATGTTGGAGCATGCTACCTACAAAGTGCCACAAGCATCTACACTGACAATCTTACGTCTAGACCACGATTTATAAAATGCTTGAAACTTCTATACCAAATTTCGAAGTCTCGTTTGCTACAAATAAGTTCGCCATGGTGAGGAGTTGAAATAAAACTGCAACGTGGTTGCACCGCGCAAGGACAGTATGAACATCACACCTGAAGGAAGAAGAATGGAGCCGCATTGTAAATATTAGTGATACAATGTTTCCTGCGGGACCAAATGTGTACGATTTGACTCAACTTTGCCACGATTAATATTTGATCAATAGGCCACTTTATTGTAGAGCTCACTATAATTAACATCTCATACTCATAGCATTGATGTATCTGGCCATATATGATTTTTTTGAAGAAGTTGATTATACATTCTCCCATACTAGAGTGTGATTAACCGATATTTTTAAGTGTAAGAGTAAAATTTTATAATAATGTTTTTACTATTTATAATTTAATTTGTATCAAATTGTGACCACCGATTAATAACTATTCTCACCCCGTTTCTCATATTCTAAAGAATGTCTGTTTAGAATCGCAGTTGATAAGAGATCAAAATTTCTCGCTGTTCAAATCATTTATCGACATCTTACATAGATTGAATGAATATATCAGTCGCATTGCCACATGTGCTAACTAGGATATTATCCGAGCTAAGTTGTATCCATGATGAACTTCGTGGGGGTGGGGGTTATGCCCACCCGTTTCTGGTACATGAATGGAAGCGGATGCATGGCCGGGCATTTGGAGTCGGTGCGGACTTGGGTAAAGCGAGACGTCACCTGCTCGATGGTCCAACACTCGCAGCGCCTTGTCGCACGCCGCATGACTGTGCGTCTTGGGGCCCGATCGGTGCGGTTGGGCCATGGAAGATCCGGTGGCGCCCATCGGCAGCAGCAGCAGCATCAGCAGCGATGTCTGAAGCGGATGCAGTTGGAATGGGTGGCAAGCGTATGTGGTGGAAGACATGGAGGGGAAGAAGCCGAAGTGGCCGCTGCTGCTGTGACGGGGTAGGAAGTAGGAACCGTACCGAGAAGTGGATGCGCCGCCGCCGCCTGCATGGATTCCATGGAAAGATGGCAGTCGCCCCCGCCAGCAAGAAGCGTTTGATCCGTTTTCTTCAGAGGGGCTGCTGAAATGAGGAAAGTGTGGCGCCTTCTCGATGCAGAAGTTATGCCACCGCGTCGTGAGGATGAGATGAGGGCCGTTTTGTAACTCTGCATTTGCTCCCGTCGCCGGCCTTTGTGTGTTGGAGAGAGAGAGAGAGAGAAATGGGGGGAGGGTGAGAGAGAGAGAGAAGTCTCGTGATCAGTTTTGCATGCCAATTATTAAACTTTCCGCACTTCGCGTCGTGGAGTTAGATTACAATATGGCGCGCCTGCACAAGTCCGGAGGTTAATGGGAGGAGGAGGGGTCGTGCACTGCTCGCTCCTCCGCCTATCCGTGCGTCTGTCGCGGTTTCCGAAAATTAGAAGCCGAAAGCGTCGCAGCTCACAGGGTGTCGAGTTCTGATAAGTGGTCCGTGTGCTGCACTGTGGAGAGGAATGTTAGAAAAGGTAAGCGCGCTGTGTCCAATTCGAAGGGAGGGAGGGAGCTCCCAGCAGCGCCACAACCACGTCGTAAAGAATCACGACTAGGTTCCGAATGGATCCCGAAGCTGTCATGATTCGATCGTCTTTGTACCGAGCACTGGCGTCGCCTAAGAGTGTACCTCGTACCATACAATCTGAATCAGTTGCACACTTCGTCCCTTGCTCGGCCGGCCACCACGTGGGGAGAGAGAGAGAGAGAGAAAGAGAGAGGACGAGGAAGAATCAGGCTCCCGGGAGAGTCCCAGACTTTGCATTAGGGTTGGGACGGGGATTCGAGAGCAGGAGAGAGTAAGAGAGAGGGGGACCCCAGGACCGGGGTCGTGGTGGCAGGTATTGTCTTGCCCCTCCTTGATTAGGGGGGAGTTCTCCGTCAGAGATCCGCTGGGAGTGGAGCCCACACCCGGACGACATCGTCGCAGGTACCGTATGGGACAGTACGCTGGCTGAGCTCGAGAGCTTCGATGCTATGATCTAGGGGTCTAATGAATCCTGGTCAAAAATCAATCCGTGGATGGTTGAAATGCACAGCGTAACTCCTCCACAGGGTACATCAGGGTTCCAGGCCAGAACACACGGTCAAATGGTTTCTCGATGACATGCATCTGGCTTCCAGAGTCTGGAGGCCTTCCATCGACCCTCGCTCGCCTTCTTCTGCAATTCCGAATTGCCGATGTTGCGTCGTCAATTCTTCCCTCGTACGTGCTGGTTCCGTAGGCCCGAGGCCTGACGCCTGCCGTAACGCAGCAGCCCCGGGTCCCCTGCTATTGTTGCAGAGCACACTGCAAAGCGCCAGAGTCCGAGACGAACTGGTACGAGGGTTTTGAAAGTCGCAACTTCTCAGCTTTCCCACAGAATCACGTCGCTAACTTCGAAAATATGCAGACTTCAAAAACCAATTTCCAGAGTTAAAGGAGCCGAAGGAGATTTCGTGAGATTTCTACTCTACGAGGCCGTTAGTTCTGAGGTTATTGCTCATCTTATCTTCCCAACCTTCGTTTCTCGTTCAACGAACTCTTCCCTCGTCCGAGGCATTGCATCGAACCTTCGTTCTCTGCCTCTGTACGTTTTTTCCGAATAGATGTAGGAGGTCTGTTACTGGTCCAGAGGAACTGTATTTTATACAGAAACTCAGTCATACTCAGTCGCCGTCAGGTGGATGATTTAAAGTACTCGAGTGAACAAAGCATTTATGTGCCTGTGTAGAAGATTTACCCAGAGTCAACCTGAAGCGGGCGAGAGCGCAGAGAATTGCGAGTGCGTAGCCTCTTCCTGGATGCCGACATCTTCCAGCTTTAGCCGACTTCCTGTGTTGGCAGGAGAAGGTTGATTGCTGCTTTGTGCGGAAAAGTCACTTACGTGCAGACTAGTCTGTCTGGTACTTCAGTAAAAGAATTTCCTGATTACCACCCACACTTAGCCCTCGCTTCCATCTTGACTACTGTTTAAGTAAAACCTTCGAATGTCCGCAATCTACCCGGACGGTCACACGGCACACTGTCGAAGCATTGATCCCTGCCGATCACTCGAAGAACAGTGGCCCACTAATCTTTGCATTAGTGTGCCAATTCTAACTTCGGAACTTCGTCGATTTTCGCTCCAATAAAATTTGAAAGAGATGTCGGTAGGTGACAGCACCGGCCCCAAATAACATTTAATACAACATATGTCTGCCTACGGTCAAAGTAAGGTTGTGACAGTTTAAATTTGGAAGCCTTGGCCATAGCCTTATGTAATCAACTGTGGACGGGAGTAGTGGAGGCAGATGTACCCAAAGCTCTCTTCCCATTAAAGTTTTCTGAATTTGCAATTGTGAATTTGAATGCAAGCTTATCACTTATTTCTATCCCGAGTCAGCTGGTTTGAATAAGCTTTCTGGAATTGCTAGTGAATCTCATCCCAAAAAACCATATATTACAGCCCGAAGCAACTCGTGTGTTAGTTTCTCCTTGGCTTGGATGTAAGCTTTTCATCTTGAGGTATTGCTCTTTCTTGCTCTTAGCTTTTGCTTTGAACATAAAAAGTTCCAATATGGATGCATGTTCATGGAATATTCGAGGCTTTAGCTTTCCTTATTCGAGCCTTGCTCCTCTTTCGGAAGTTCATGAACCAATTCGAAACCTGCAAAAAATTGAGAAAATAGTTCTCTTATCTTTCATCCATTAATAGTGATAAGAAAGTGATAATAGAGGGGCAAGTTACAGTCACAAGTATAAAATTAGTAAATTTGCAATGCTTCATCTTTATCTTTTCACTGATACAAGTCCGTCTTTTTCTCGGATCTTCAAACTAAATGCAGCGTTAGAATGTCACTTGTAAGCTCTTATTCCATCAACTGATTACTTTTCGGATGTTGCATACTATGCATTTGGAACCTTTTGAAGAGTGAAGCGTTATGTGTTGCTATAAGCAAGGTAGTGTCACCCTAGAATATCTATAGCAAAATGCACTTACCTGCACATAGGTAACTCCAGATTCCTTTGCTAAATCTTCCCTTTGCTCCCGAGAGGGGTTTGGATGACTCAGATGTTCGGATGCCCATGTACTACGAGTTTCAGAATGCAAGTTGAAAAGTAAGAATGAGAACTTCATGGAAAGATTTACAGCAAAGTACATGTAAGTACAAATCAAATTTCCCACAATAGTCCAGGCACAAATGGCTTCAAGAAACAGAGGTCAAATATGAAGAGGATATCATATTGTTTGGATAACGCCGAGAAATGAGATATTCATGGAAAAAGGCGAAGCAAAGAGTTATGTCACCTCAAGAGTCGTGTTGCCCGTGGTGGCAGTCTATTCGCCTTCTTCTTTCGAGGATCGTCTCTCCATTTTCTGCTCCTTTCGTTCTTGAACCAGTCCGAGATCTAGAGCACAATTTCAAGTGATGCTCATTTAAACAATCCTTCCGCTTTCGCGATGGAGGAAACATGCAACCTTTCTCTATAGATGGCAGCTATTCCACTGTAATAGATGTGAGGATGCTGGCAGTAACCTGTTGCAATGTAAGGTTGGTCCTCCGTGACATTTCATAGACTTCTCGTTGACTCGGATATGGAATGAGCTCATTCTTCTCCCACCAGGTTCTGTGGCAAAGGGGAGAGAGTGGTGGTTAAATGAATAAAAATTCGGTACTTCGGCCTTGTCTTTTGAGCAATGTACTTGATTAATAGCTTAGGCGTGCCCTGGTCATCTAAATTCAAGCAAGGAGGGAAGCAAACGTTTCGAAATGTACTGACCTCAAGATTTGGAGCGATTCCGGTGTGTGGACCGACCTGGATCCGGTGCCTTCCAGCTCTTTACGTCTCGATGAAGTTAAAGATCCAGTGGAAGAGTCATCATTTGTATCGAGAATGCTGTTGGTTGCTTTAACATGGTCATCAACTGGTGCTGGCCTGGGAGTAAACTCCAATTGTTGAGAGCAAGTGGGGTGGTTAGATTCCAGCACCTCTCGCATACTGCCCTGAGAAATAGGAGCACTTGCAAATTCCTCTCCTCTGTTACAAGGCTCACAAGCCCTCATTTCAGTAACGATTTCATCATCTGGTGATGGTACAGGAGCCCATGCCAATTGGTCGGAGGAGCTATCCATGTCCATGTCCTTGTCCAGCACCTCCTCCACACATCCTGGAGGAGAAGAAGCACTAACACAGACTTCTTGTGGGTCTTCAGCTTCACAGCCCCTGACTGCATTAAGATTGTCATTATCTCCTGATGGGACGAGAGGCAATTCTGGTCGTTGAGAGCAGCACGCAAGGGTGGCCAACACCTCTTCCACGTATGTTTGAGGATATGGAACAGGCGAAAGCACCTCTTGTGAGTGACGAGCTTCATAATCCATTGAGTCGTTCGACGCCTTGTCAAAGGGAAAGATTTGATTAAATACATCTTCGACGAGAAGTTTAACATTCGTCGATGATGCATGCCCCAAGGAACTCAAAACTTGTAGAAGATATTGTTGTCCCACTACCCAATGATTACCCTGCTCAAACTCATGATGTGTATCTCGCTGGCATAGTGGAACTTCAATTACTTGCTGCATGTCCTCGGCATGAGATGCCTTTTGAGCTGTGTTGTCAAGTATTGCTTGTGCTTGAGGTGTACACATGGATGGTGCTTTCAATCGGTGACTAAACTCCATATGCTCAGAGTCAGATGCGAATCTTCTTTCCAAGTTAGAAGCATCATCCCCAGCACTTGAATCAAGTAGCATTCCTGGTTGCGGTTTACATGTTGTTGGTGCTTCAAATTGTTGATCAAACTCCAGATGTTGATTATCAGAAACTAATCTCGTATCCATGTTCAAAATAACACCTGAAGTTTTAATGCCAACCGATTCTTCAGCTGTGAAAGCAACTAACCCTTCTCGTTGAGATGTGCATGTTGTTGTCGGTTCTTCTAATCCGTGACCATACGCCATATAATCGATATCAAACACGAAGGTACTTGCTTCGTCGTTAGAAGTAGAAGCATTGCAGTAAACCGATTCTTGAGCTATGTGATCATCTAAGACTTCCTGTTGAAGTGGACAGGCTATTGTTGGTGCTTCTTGTCGGTGACCTAACTCCTGATGGTGAAAAGCAGTTACGATCCTACTGTCCACGTGAGAAGTACTACCCCAAACTTCGGGGTGAACTGACTTTTGACCAGTATCTCTGTAGTCAAAACATACTGGCGATTGAGGAGTGATTTTGGGTGGTGCGTTCAAGTGGTGGCCAAAGTCCATATGATCTGCAAGAGCAACGTTGCCCGACTGAGAGAATTCATCTCTCGGCTGATCTTCAGGAACACACATTCCAAAAGTGGATAGATATGTCCAAAGCTCATCCACCGTGGGTGAGTGAAGTTCGTGATTGTCGGTGTATGTCGTCGCTTCAGTGGTGTGTTTAGCGGACTTTATTGTGGTGCAATCATCAGCATTTTGATGGTCAGATGAGTACTCACCTGTTGTGGCCATCCTCATTATGTGAGAAACCTCCACAGTATTGCAATCATACGCGAACGCTGAGGACTGCAGATTATTACAACGAACTTGGGCCTGGTATGGAGGTACGAAGCCATACGTAGTTTCTGACTCCATGAGCCAAGAGGAGTCCAGAGTGGAACAGTCGAACTCAATTGGTTGTTGAGTTCCGAAACCTGAACTTGTGGTAGCTGAATTTATGAACTCTGAGCTTTCTGAAGTACTGGGATCCAGCCAAAGTTGCCGGTGGTCTCCGGAGTAAAAAGTGGCGTCAGCTCCAGTGAATGGAGGAGGCACTACTGTTCTGCAATAGTCCCCAATCTGTACGTAAGGAGTAGACTGCATGGCCTCCGTAGGGCAGCAATAATCGGACATAAAACCGTATGCAGAGGCCAAGGACTCTGATGTTGCGTATCCATTTGAGGTTCGTGCTTGACGCAAGGAAACGAATGTGGTAGGTGCTTCCAAGAACGGAGATGAAGTTATGGAGTTTGTTGGTTCCATCTCCCCTGAGAAGCTGTCCATGATGAAGCCACCTGGTGTTCGTGGAGCATATAGCTGACCGTCTTCGAAGCTATTATGTCCCGCCACAACATCCGCATTCCCTCTGTCTACCTGATCCCCACTAGCACCATCTGGTCTGCATTCCTCAGAAGAAGAAACCACCAAAACGTGCGCTCTCGCCCCAATCTGCATAGACTTATCCCCGTCATTCGTACCAGACGTTCTTCCATCTGCCTGCTCACTTGGGTCGGAAAAGAGGCTGTCGACCCAATCAAGGAACTCTCCCATCTTCGACTCTACTGCAGAAAGAAGTGAATGCACTCCTGAAAAGCAGACTCCAGAGCAGCGAAGAAGAGCGGAGGTGGGATTATGGAAAGAGGAGTGTATCACGACGATGAGGAAACCCAGAGACTGGAAACTCATCAACTGGAAAGCAGAGGTCAAAACAGGGCAGATGAATGAGGAGGATCTCACAAAATTGAGCAAGCCCGGAGAATTAACTTCTCACTAAGTAAACTCATCGATCTTTGTAGACTCTTTCGAAAGTGAATCTTGACAGCAGATTGATGGGTTGACACATTCTTCCATCGGTCACAGATCATATATCCCTCTCCATCCTTTCCTTAATAATACTGAAGCATTACGCAGTAATCACTTGACATCCATCCTTGGTTCAATAATCCGTAGGCAATGTCAATCAGCCAGAGTCGACCCCTCCTACTTCTCTCTTCCTACATGAGAGATTCTCCCTACCTGAGAGACTTATATGTTATTGGACATTCCTACGAAGCAGGATCATGAAGCAATTCAATACAAAGTTCAATCGTCAGTCAAAGTTGCGACCAGTTGTTGCTGTCTTCTCTTCAGATTGGGAAGAATCTCTCTACAAAGGACGCACTTTGTAGAGATATTCCAGAGACTCCAAACTGGATGAGAAATCTTTTATGATTGACTGTTAATTGTAAATGAAGAGATGATGAAGGTGAACCTCATGATCTGTGGACAGACAACGGTAATTGTGGATATTTTAGGTTCGACCGAGTTTTACTATCGAAGATGACTACCACCTCATCGTAACTTCTAAACTCCATCAATCTTGCAAAAGTGCATTTGGTATTGATAGACAGGAAGTGCATCATCGATTCACTTCAGTAATGTCAATGAAGATGCAAAAGCACACAACTGATATGGATGAAATGAACGGCGAGTATGTGGCTAGCCCCAATCACGTCACGTAATCGTACCACGAGAGAATATGAAGAATCATCCACTAAAGACGATTACAAATATTTGAAGTGTTCTGTTGTAATAACTAGGCGTCCAAGTAGTGAACCAAAAAGTTTGGCAAGACCGAGTCAAGTCTATTAACGCTATGCTCCAATAATATCACAACGGGAGTGATATACTTTTGCATGTAAAATTGCGAATAATAACTCTGTGTAATATGGTAGACTCTCGTGGATATCCCATGCACATGTCAAAGTTATGCGTATTCCAGGTCACGAAGACAAAAAATTGCTTTCTTACTCTAACTTTATAATTCAACACGTGGCGTATATAAATGTATGACCATTCAATGTATTGCGTACAACATTGATAATCCGACACGTTTCCGATAACATATACGTAATGCCCTACAATGATTTAAGGAATTACATTCATAGGAGAGGATTATGGCAAATAACGCATTCTTCATAGATCACGTTTGTGACATTACATACACAATGTCCAACAATGATTTAAGGAATTAAATTCATAGGAGAGGATAATGGCAAATAACGCATTCTTCATAGATCACGTTTGCGATAATATATACAAAATGCCCTTCAATAAATCAAGGAATTACTGTACATGAATTTCTAGGCGAGGATTATGGCAAATAATAAGGGGCAGCTAAAAGGCTATAACCCAACGAGAAACAAGTAATGTGAGCAAGTCTGCATTCGAAGTAGTTCGCACTCTCAGTGGATCAACAGTATCTAGTGCTAAGGGTCGTCAAGTCCAAGGTTGTCTGAAAAGTGGGATGAAGTTAGAAAGTGTCAAACATGACTCCACATCTGTCGCAGTACAAAACATCGAAGACGGACAGACTGCAAGAGCGGAGCCTTTAAGACAAGCCGAGTCCACTTCGGTCCAGCGCAGAAGAAGCAAAGCAGACGATACCGTCTATCTATGGACTTCATTTATGGGGCGAGTGTTTATGGACAGGGGGAAATATAGTTTGGGGCAACACGTTCGGAAGGGGAGCTTCGAGTGCTGGAGGGATTAGTGGGGAGGGACGGGGAGCGGTGGGCCCTGCCTCATAAATAGCAGCGGAGACATGGAGTACCATGGAGCTAATAATAAAGTCAGATATGATACCACCAATGGAGCGGCAAAAGGGTGCTTCTGTAGACGACGCGATGTAATCCGGACACAATTCAAAATTAGGGTATCTATTATTGAAAAATGAATGGTCATGACGTCCGTCGATCATTAGATTCAGCTCCATTTATGGCACACAAATATTCGTGTCAGGTCTTATAAATGCCCACTTCGGCATTCATTGCTAGGCGTGGATTCAGCTTCAGAAGCTCAGAAGATGTCGATTCCCATCTCTCGAGTCTCGACAGTGTCTGTGGCCCTTGACTTTCCCTTCGATCTGTCAATCTGTCGAGCCCCGGACTTGAACTTTTCATTTTCAATTGGTGTCCAACTTTCTCGTTTATTCATTTTTTTCCTTCAAAGTTTCTCAAAGATTGCCTTTTCTGAACGCATGTGATTCTTCGCTCGTATATAACATGATTCTTTAGAAATGTTCCGATTTTTGCAGGCTTTTCCGACACTCGGGATAACTATTAGTTTGGATTTTCTTGGAAAAATAACAGAAAATTAGTCTTTCATCCCGTTGTTATTAAGAGTCGCTTTATATTAAGGAGGTCACTCAGAGAACTATTTCCATCTGCTAGTGATTTCTTCGTCCTCATTTTTGTATTTACAAGTTCGCGTGGTTTTATTTAGATGGAATGGACCAGATGAATCCTGTTCGCATCGCAGAGTATAGCTAACCATAATAAAAACGAATGAAAAACTTATTTTCATTTATTTGTGATTTCCAAACTTATGAATGGATGAGTATGACCGAATATTCTCGTTTTAACTTTATGGACATGTTGTCGAGAGAGTGCGTGAACTCCTACCATACTTTCCCTCATGGATGATCACTTCCTCCCTTATGCTAAACCATAAGGACTATCACTGTCTTTATTATAAATGGTAAACTAATTGAGCCAACGTCTGTACAATGCATAACATGAAGCTCTATTTACTGCAATTATAATAGAGTTATCACTTAAGATAGTGATCATTCATATAATCCAGTCTGACTTCTGATAGTTAACATTTTTTTGAATGAGGTAAATACGAGCATGAAGGAATGAAAAACTATTCTCCCATTTAATCTCGAAAGAAGAGTGTTGAATTGATAAATAAGCGATTGAAAGACCCATCAAACCGTCAGAAATAAAACATACAGAAAACGAGACCTGTTCCTCTCGTTATCTGTTTCTTGTTCCAATAAGAATTACAAAAAATTCGATATATCTGTAAAGGATGCGCATGTATCCTTTGTTGTAATCCGTAACTGGACTGAGAACCTACTTCTATATGTAACATCTAATTGGCCCTTGATAGTTCGTGCTCAAAGTGGAGCCTTTCATGTTTCGGATACTTTGCCAAGGGACAGATGAAATGAATAAGGCACCTTGGTGGGACATCCTTTTCATTTCCCTTCGAGCATGTTTTCTAGTTCACTTCTTCGCTTCTTCTTTGACTTCGGTTACTTGAGATCAGGAGTTCCTTGTTCTAGACATCAAATGTTTTCGTCGGCAATCACTTCATCTGGAACTTTTTCAAGGTGGAGGATTTCATCATTTCCCTTCATGATGAGGTGTCACGTGATATCTTGACCTCTTCCACGCCTGGACTGACTTGCTCATAAATATCTACACATTTTGGTACTCGATTTTACGACGAGGCATGCAACATTCAAAAAGCTAATATCAATAGCTTGACATATGTAGACGAATCTTTACAGATCGTGGTGTGCCAAGCAAGATATCCTCGCCACCGTCAGTTTCTCACGCAAATCATAGTAGTTCATGTGGACAGTTCAATCATCGGCTGATTCTTGACCGTCAACAGCCACTCCAGGAAACATAAGCGTCACGTGCACTAGCAAATATGATCTCGGTTTTCGAACGAGGATTCATCTTAAAGTTCCAAAACTTTATGCCGTGTGTGGGGTACAGTGTTCCCCACACACGGCCAGAGACTGCTTCCTCTCTCATCCCAACTGTGGATGGATATGAGAGAGAGAGAGAGAGAGATGGTGGCCAACGATGTTCGCGTGGTTATTATCACCAACCATAGACATTCGAACACTTCATCTCTGTTGCTATAAAACTCGGAAAGTTGACTTGCGCAAACAAGTTGTTCCTGGGGATGAACAGAATGTACTGATTTTCTCCAGTGACGGTTGTTTCACCGACAAGGTCTCGTGCTTTCACTGTTTGTAACCCATGCACCTGCATGAAAGTTAATCTACCACACAAAAGTCGGAAGCGATCAATATTGAAGTCCATGTTTCGTACCGACAGCGAACTCTTACCCTCTAGGTTTCTGTGTCCGTGAATCATAACTTGCATTCTAGAGCAACATTTGCGCAAAAGTGGTAACCAGGCTTAACACAGACAATGACGACTTCGCTGGTAACACTCTGATTGCAAAGCTGGAGTACAACACGTCATCTCAGTTTTCGTGAGCTGTTTCGGTCTTCCGATCAAAGACAAAACCAAGTTGTAACACTTGGATACAGATACAGAGGTTGGACACAAACTAATCACAGTTTTCACACAAAGCTGAATTTCTTCTCTAGAGATCTATAATGTTGTTTTGAACCAAACAATTTTCATATATTCAAGAGTGAAGGGAGTGACAGTCCATACGCAATTTTGAACAGACCTTACTTGGAAAAAGGTGCAAAACCACGGGAACATTGGGTACAAAGTAGCGGAGATTGTATCCATGAGGGGCTGAAAGTGGTCTATGATAAAATTCCATTTTACCCAACTTCTCTACTGTGCAACCTAAACAACTAACCTCCAGAAAGTAATATCACATGCGCAAAACTTGAACCAAATGTGTACAATCGAGACGAGCAACTAATTGAATTGTCAGATGTATAGAGACGCTACGATGATTGAAGAGGAAAGGGCCAATATGGAACTCGTTACCAACGTTTGAGAACTCACGCGTGATCTTGGGTCCAAGATAGGCCTGTGACGTCTTCGTCCACTTTGTCGGTACAAGCTCCACGTCCTCTTCAGTGGAAAATGATTAAATTTCACCACCATGGCGATTATAGAAGGACTGCTGAGAAGCAGTCCCGCGACGAGACTTGCACTTACATTATCCTCTTTTGGTCAAGAACTGACGTAAAGAGCGCCCAACATTACACTTGCATCTACTTCAGATACTGGTGGCCTAGTCATAAAAGGGTGATAAAGAGTCACATTTTCTATCAAGTGCTTCTTGCTAGCAAATTCCACATCTACTTCCCACATCAGCCTCCATAGATTCTGGACTCCTACAGCTGCTTCGATCAAAATTGTTCTGCTCCTCCGATGTGTCTACCTATGTGACCCTGTTTAGAAGAAAACTTCCAGGAAGAAACAGCCTTCGTAAAAAGTTCCATAACAATGTACCATCCACTAACTATACAGTGTACAGCTGCATACAGCAGGGAATGGCGTTGCTTCCACACCCTCCTAACGACCCCACTAACATTCAACAGAGCAGCAGGACAGCAGAAAAATTTGGAAAAGCCTCATCGAGAGTGTAGCTTTTTATCAGCCAGTGCGCAATCCCTTGGGTGCATGGACCTTGTTTAAGCTGTTTGAAGAAGTAGGGCTAAAGACAACAATATTTGCGTCACACCTCTGGGAGAATCTCAAAGAAGCGTTTTGACAGCCACCTCAGTCGATGGAAGCAGTGCTCCTCCAAGAACGAAACACGTCAGAAGCATGCAAACTGACTAATACTGTTAAGGAGACCCTGGGCCTTCTTCCGGTTACTGAGACAAATTTCCTGTTCTCCAAGACTGTAACTGTTGGTTTCCCATGAAGAACCCTGGTGAGAGTATTTCAGCACGATTACTGCAATCACTGCGTTTGTTCGATATCTGAACGTTTGAGATGGCAGCATCGTGGAGGTTTTGACCTCCACAATGCTGCCAGTTCATCTGCTCAACAATAAGATCAACCGCTTCTCAGGTGCTTCATGTTATGTGTACATGCAGACAGACCCTTTCTGAATACCATCAAGGTCTTCCCGATTTCGTATTAAAAATCTCATCATAGACCATCCAGTCTAGGTTTCCAATGGAGCAACATTCTCTCTCCCACCAGTAGGGTCGTAACCTCTTTCCTCAAACTCTCGTAGAACTTCGTGCCGCATTCTAAGCCAAAGCTTTTGTGCCTCCCTTTCGAACTTTTCCCGCTGTAGGTCAGATATGAGATCATCACCAGCACTTTGCATGGCAGCTTGAGTTCCAATAGTGGTCCCGTACGTTCCTCCTTTGGCAACAAATTCTTTTACAGCCTCTTCGTCTCCTGGGTATGGGAAATCCCTACGTTGATACAGGTGGGCCATTTCCTTCTCTTCCTGCTCGGCAACGGCAACAATTTGCCAAATTAGAATTTGATCTCCCAATGAACTGACTTGGAGCCTTCAGACAAGCGACCACCGTATTGCAACGCGTCTCAGGGGTAGATTAGAAACTGACCTTAGTTCGAGGCTTCAAAGTCCACCAACCCAAAGGAGAAGCCTCATCCCACCACCATGCCGCACCAACGATGGCGTAAGTGCTTAACAAGGCTTTTCCAACCTGCATCCAATGCTGCTTCGACATTTCCTCCAGTGCAGGCAACCTCTACCCTCTACCAAACGGCGGAGTTTCTGTGTGATGCTTACACATTCATAGATCACAATCTGCACAAAGACAGAAGTGTTAAAAATCTAGGAAATGGATATTCCAATGTGCATATCACCCAAGAGCTTGTCTGCTACATCCTTACCTTCCAATATAGTCTTGTGACGGCGAAAGCTTTTGTGATCTCTGTAAATGACAAGAGGGAAATCTACTCGAAGATTCTATAAATCCATCTCGACAGACAGTTCTCTTAGACAGTTTAAATCTTTGTTCTACGGATCTATGAGTCTCTGACTTTAGATAATAAATTCCAGATTCCAGCTCTTGGCAAAAGATAGGACTTTATACAATCACGTCAGGCGAGTGAACCTCAGTGAAGAGCGTAATAGACCCAGCATTAAACTGATACAACTAGCATCTAACTGAATTTCAAAAGAACGAAAGAGGCAGTTGAGAATTGCTTGAGGAGCTCAATCAAGTGCAATTAATAACACCAACAGGCTCTAAAAGACAATTTCTGAAAAGCGCACAGGCCATGATGTTGAGGACAAATGCCCCTCTACATCCCATTCGACTGGCAAATCAGGAATTCGACACCTCCAAACAGATTTACAGATGGGCAAAGATCACAGATTGAGCTTCCAAACGGCAGCAAAAACCTCAGGGTCAATGTAAAGAGATGGTGGCAAACATTCCAGGCGTACGGAAGCTAGGAAGACACACGGTGCTGAAACTCAGCAAACAAAGGCAGAAGACATCTCTTAGAATTTAATATGTCTCATCAAAAAAAGAAAAAGATTTTCCACAGCTGGGTGATCAATCAAAATTCAATTCGAATTCACCAGTAGCCAGCGCAAATCATTACCAAATTCACAGGGAGCAATCACAAACGCACAGAGACAAAATCCGTCCCTTGTCAAATCCAAGAATTCCTGCTCCTCTCAGAAAAACCCAGAGCCTACAGTATCTCGATCTCTGAGAAGATCGAACGGGAACTACGAACCACATCGTCGTCGGTCGACCGCACCGTGAGAGGAGAAGGCAACGGCAGAAACGTACCCTGGAGCAGATGCATTCTCGTGCTCGCTCCCCTGCTTCGTCTAAATCCACCTCCTGGGCCAAAAGCCCTCCAGTCTCCTTACCATGGTCGAGCGGTCTCAGAACTGCGTCGATTGCCCACAACCGGGTTACCCAACCAGGTCTGTACCTCGCCCTTCTCACTGTACAGTAGTTCCCAGTAGCTCGACAGGGAAACGGGACCACAAATCGTTGTGCGGCCCACTGCGGCGACCAGTTGGACCAGTTGACGTTGGTATGGTACTGCAACTGTAGTCATACAGACAAACTTCGTAGTTAGGTGACGCAGTTCGTGAGCGCGGTACGAGGAGCACACAGTCAGGATCAGCGCAGGGTTTTGTCAATGCATTCAATCCCTTCCCTGCCATCGATGAGCGAGGGAGAGAGCGAGGGCGAGGGCGAATAGGGTTGTATTTCAGCAGACGACATTGGACCGAAACTGGAAATTGCATTCATCGGTAAGTGGCTGACTTGGAGCACATTTCGTTTTTGTGGCTGCACAGCTTAGATTGCTGATTCTTTGGGAGAATTGGGTCTGCTTTCATTCTGAAATTGTCATTCTAATGCACTTGTGAGGGTGAGAGGTTTTGCTCTGCTTCGTTCTGTCTTGTTTTGGGCAAATTTCTTAGTTTCCGCAATTGTTGCGTCTTTTTCGCCGAGTTTTGAGAAAATGCGGGTGTTCAGATCTGCTGGGCGTGCGTGAGAGTGGTGGATTTGGTGTACGAGGCCCTTGAGGTCGAGTACTCTTCTTTTTTCTCGCTCGTTGTGAAGCTTGGAGCGCGATGGAAGACGACAAGGTTGCGAAGCCTGTGGTCGGGGATGTGCCAATGGAAGAAGGTGGAAAGGATGTGAAAGAAGCGAAGAAGAAGGAGAAGAAGGAGAATCCGAAGAATGCCAAGAAAGCCGAGAGGCAGTTGGCGAGACAGATGGAAGCAGCTGCTGTACAGGAAGTCGTGGATCCGCTAGCTGCGAATTATGGTGAAGTCGAGCTTGTCACACTGCAGAGCGCTACGCAATCGGGTAGAAAATGGATCAAAGTCTCACAGCTTGACCAAGAATTGAAAGGACAGACCGTTTTGGTTCGTGGCCGAGTCCACGCTGTACGAGGAAAAGGCAAGATGGCTTTTCTCGTTGTTAGAGAGTCCGGTTATACGGTTCAATGTTTGGCATCTATTGCTGAAAACATCGTGAGCAAGCAGATGCTCAAGTTCATCTCAGGTCTTAACAAGGAATCAATCATTGATGTTGAGGGAGAGGTTTCTGTTCCCCCTGGAGAAATTGCAGGCACTTCTCAGCAGGTATATTGAGTTATTATGGTCCATAATCTCTTACAGTTGGAACGTACGGCCACCGAATTGCGTGTTACCTGTTCTAGCTCGGAAAATTTTCAAATTCCTTATTGGGCTTGCATTTCGTACACGAATTAACGCATGCACTACCGTAAGCGTTAACATATGCGATGAATGATTTCGAAATGCAGGTAGAAATTCAAATCCGGAAGCTGTTCTGTGTCAGCAAGGCTTTGCCCAGTTTGCCTCTCACTCTTGAAGATGCCTCACGGAGTGAACTTGATTTTGAGAAAGCTGAAAAGGTGAGTCGGTTTTCAACTATGCACTGGCGTTTCTGTTTCAAGAGATGTTTTGAAGTTTTAGTTGTGAGTCGCAGCAGGACATGATGGACCTCCAGTTTCGACATCTGAGTCTGGCTCCTTCAGAAACTGAGGTGATTGGGGTGTGTGTAAATTATGCAGGAAGGAAAGCAGTATGTCAAAGTGGGGCAGGACACTCGGCTCAACAACAGAGTCTTAGACTTGCGAACACCTTGTAACCAAGCAGTATTTCGTGTGCAGTCTCATGTATCTATGGTGAGCTTAATAAGGAAGTGTTTTCAAAAGAAGCGTGCATCTACAGCCTGTTGTTCGTTCTGAAATGCGATGTGAATATGCTCTCACTGCCTGTTTAATGTCCTGCTTTGGTCATTGGAGCGTTTCCCTCTTTTGATGCTGAGCTGAAAAACCATCTTTTGAACCGCTTGGCCGTATTCAGTTGTTTCGAGAGTACCTCGTTTCTGAAGATTTTGTTGAAGTACATACTCCTAAGCTGATGGCTGGAGCGAGTGAGGGAGGATCATCAGTGTTCACCCTGGACTACAAGGGGCAACCTGCCTGTCTAGCTCAGTCACCTCAGTTGCACAAACAAATGGGAATTTGTGCTGATTTTGGTCGAGTTTTCGAGATTGGTCCTGTTTTCCGCGCGGAAAACTCCTTCACACATCGGCATCTATGTGAATTCACCGGTCTGGATTTGGAGATGGAAATCAAGGAACATTATTTTGAGGTGATTGTTCCGCCAATCGGTACAGCTAACTGTTTGACTGTATCTTACATGGGAGTATCATTTGTTGATTGCGTTGCAAACAGTGGATATTTATGTTGACAATATATTTCAATCTCAGTGGGCTACTCGCTTACGTCTTTAATTGTTGCAGGTTATTGATCTTCTCGACAAACTATTTGTGCACATTTTTGATGGCTTGAATTCCAAGTGTAAGAAGGAACTGGAAGCTATCAATCAACAATATCCGTTTGAGCCTTTGAAGGTAATTCACAGCTAGCTGTGCGCACGACTCTGGAATGAGTCCCGCCTGTTGAATCTTGTACGTCAAAGCTTTTGCTAACTTTTGAATGCGTCTAATGCAAGTGATATTTGTTCACAGTATCACCGAGAAACTCTACGGTTGACATTCGATGAGGGAGTGCAAATGCTCAAAGTGGGTACCGTGAAACCTTGCAGTTTATCGTTTTTTTTATGTGTATATTGTATCATTAGATGGTGGATTGTATGTTATTGGAAAGCTTTGTGCTGTCATAACCCAACGTAGCCCTCGTTGAAGAAATTCTTTAGAGTATGATTATGTAAAACTGGTGTCTTATTGTTGTAAGAAAATTGGAATAAGTCTTGCGTGGTGTTGGCGGAGCAGGAAGCCGGAACTATTGTTGATCCCATGGGAGATCTAAACACCGAGTCTGAGAAGAAATTGGGCCAGCTTGTGAAGGATAAGTAAGTGTAGTTTCAACAAACAAAGTTGCGACGCAACGTTGTCGGCTCACAATTTATCTGTACTGATGGCTTTTCTGCAATTTTTGGTGGTATTCTAAAGTTTCGTGTTCTGTTTGGGCACAGGTATGACACGGACTTCTACATTCTACATCGGTATCCTCTGGCCGTTAGGCCTTTCTACACGATGCCATGTGCTGACGATCCCCGGTATACCAACTCTTTTGACGTCTTCATCAGAGGTAATTAACCTTTGACTAGCGTTTGTTTGTCTAGAGTATTGTAACGATCGAAGTGTGCCTGTGGGAGCTTCTCGTTGCCCACGAATGATGTAATATATCATGCCTCTCTGTGCACATTTCCTTTAGCACAAGTTCATATACGTTCCATTCGGTGTTATACTCTTGCAGGGGAAGAAATCATTTCGGGAGCACAGCGTGTACATGATGTGGACCTTCTAACCAAACGAGCCATAGAATGTGGCATCGACGTCAAGTCACTGTCAACGTACATCGATTCATTCAGGTAACGTTGATAGTGAAAGTTTTCAGTATCTTCTTCCACTGATCTTCCTCAACGAGCTGTGTTTTAATGTAATGCTGGTCTGCTGCAGATACGGTGTTGTTCCACACGGCGGGCTAGGTGTAGGATTGGAGCGAGTAGTGATGCTGTTTTGTGCTCTTGGCAACATTCGCAAGACCTCAATGTTCCCTCGTGATCCACAAAGGCTAGCGCCTTGAAGAATTGACCTCTGATACCCGTAAGTGCTCACGCGCTGGGGTTTTTGGCAGCACCAGCATTGAAATATAAATGCAATATACGAGTCCATTTTTTCAAATCAACAATTGGAAACCGCTTATTTTACCTTAAGGCATGTCAGATGAATTTGGTGTAATGATTAACCTTCCAAGTTTTTCTTTCAATCGTGGAACAAAGTGGTTTTGCTTGTAGAGTTGTCGAAATTCTTGAAGTACTAGGGACTCAAAGTGAATGATAGTTTTCGCCTGTCGATGTGGTTTACAGAAGAGGCTGAAATACCTGTCTTATGTCAAGATGAGCAACAAAAGTAATTGGCAGATGTGTTGTTCTTAACACAAAACTGCTCTCCTAGGTTTGATTTATACACTTGCTCTCTGTAGGGATCTAAGTTTTTAGTGCCTCAATCCTTGTGAAGGTTGTTCTTTATCGTGGGTTGCAGTTTCTTCGTTTATTTGTCATGTGGATAGGGTCAGGCTTGAAATTAGGACAGGGAACGAATCAATAACCTAAGCTTCAATCGCCTGGTTAATTTTGGGTTAGGGTAGGTCACAGGCCTTTGTGCACGAGATTACAAATCATCGCGTCTTCCAGTACATTGCAGATGTAGTATTCGACATGATGCTTGAAGATATGTGAACAACTGCAGGCTGTGGAGATAATTATTAATTACAAGCATGAAGACGTAGTATCGTAGCCACAGTTGTGCATGATTTAAGTACGAGGTTCAGAACCTTTCTTTTAGGCAATGCCTTCTCCATATCGTGATGAGTACACTACGCTGTATGATCACGATTGGAAAAGGCATTGCCCATGCCTTGTTCGACTCAACTTTGTGCCACGGTGTCATGGCTTCATGTCTCGCTTTTATAAATATATTCATATCTTCTTCCAGTGAAGAAAGACGGAAAATTTTGAGTGAAACGTGTTATATGCAACCAGTTTTCTTTGTGCTTTGTACAGCATGCTCATCGCAGTGGCTTCCTGAAGTGCAAGGATCAGATGCCTATGCATGCATATGGCTTACTTCTCTTACACTTTCTGTGCTATACATCTTGTCTTGGATGTGATCATGTAACACCGTGTAAATAGTGCTCTCACTCGCTCCATGATTTCCCCAAGTTTCTTTGTCCAGATCTCAACCCATTGGATCATCTCATTCCTATTAGGCGTCATAGTTTCATAGTGTACAGACGGTACCTTCTGCACCCGCTGACGTTTCTATCGTAGTGATGGTTTTCATTCGCACGTCTTGGATGGTGCTAAACGTTTCAAATCTACAGTTCGTGATCCATTCACTTCCTCTCTTTCGCTACCGGAGGCTTTTGTGCTTGATTTCACGATGCAACTTCTCTGCCTGTAGAATAATACTAATAATCCACTCATGCGATCAAAAGTGGTCTTAGAAATATTCCATTCCACTTGTTTTGTTGCGTTGGTTTTGATTATCATCCTCGAACCTGCTCTGCAATTTCGAGGAGAAAAGATATTAAAAACGATAAATAGTGGGTAAGTGTCTTTTGTGCGCATCTGCAATTGCCATTACACAGATTGATTTCGTACCGACTTCACACGTTCGCAGTACACCACACGAACAACAGTAAAAATTCATAGATTCTAGTCACAGTGAAAGACATCATATGCCATACCTATTTCTGAAAGGTTTCACACTCCACACTCTGTACTAGTGAAGACAAACCCCTGTTTTCATCACATTGATAGAGAAATGAAGGCTTCATGTTTGACAGGAGTTCCCGGCGGATGAAGCCCTTCTGTGTTCACATTGTGCCGTGCGTCTTACCACAACCGACAGTGACAATCAAATAAGCTTTTGGTTCGAGTTCAAGTTTCAACCACTAAGTACTGAAATCTGATCTACAGCACATAATGCGGTTAGGTGCAAGATGTTTCAGTACGCTGATTAGTCGAAGCATGATTTCCAGTTGTGAAACGTGAAACCGGGTCATCGAATTCTTCGAAGAATCAAAAGTGGACTATCGTTCAAGGTAACAGAACTATATATGTGCAGTCCTCGTTCCTACTCTTAAGGAAGTGCCTTACGTGACGAAAGATGTTCGGATTGCGTAAGTTCCTCAGGACAGAGTTCTCAATCTGACTGTACAATCACAAAACTGATATTTCGGTGTCACAGTGGATTTCATTGGAAATAAAGGAGTAGGGAAAGTTCTAGTTACAATGTTGGACCCTGTAGAAGAGTGTAGTTTCAACTTTGGCCTCTGCAATTCAGTTAAGACTTTATATGTAACAAAGACGGCTAGAACTCAGGCCAGCAATATATCCATATCCTCCAATATATTGCACTAGTGCTGTACCTCGTGAATATGCCGATGTGTGCGTAATGTATGAGAAAATCAGACTTCCCCAATTGTAATGGGGAAAGAAGCCCAGAATTCCTCATCTAGCAGCAACCACCGACCGAGGGATCGACGGCATGAGTTTGAGGCTCTGTTGTCGTCGCCACTGTCAAATACTCCCTACCTGCATTCTCAAAAGATCATCTGCGTTCCATCGTGAACGAAAAATTCTTCATAGCAGTACCCAGAATGCGGGACAGTTTCTCAATCCGTGGACAATTTCTGTCCGTGTAGTTAGAATAAAAAGAATGAATTGCTGTACACAGGGTGGCAAGGCGCTCAAGTAAGCGCCTTGCTTGAATACATCAATGGTCCTAAATACTAACCTAACAGTCCCGATTACCACCTAGAAAACTGTGGTTAACACAAACATGTCTACTGATCTAAATTTGGCTATCTTTAGTTCCCTCGGACTCATAAGTACTTCTAACATATTCAATAGGGAATGTTTCTATTAGTGACGGCATTGGAAACTAGTGCCCGTATTATAGACCTTGCATAGATCGAACTCCCATAGCATGTATTTGATGTTCAAACTTGGGGGAGGCAGCGGTTTAGTGAGTAAATCTGCAGTGTTATTGTCCATATGAATATAATCAAGCGCTATCTCCCCTTCCAAAACACGTTCTCTAATAAAGTGATGTTTTGCCTCAATGTGCTTGGTTTTAGCATGAAAAACTGGATTTCGAGCAAGTTTGATTGCACCCTGATTATCCCAGGATAGATGCATGTAAGCCTTGGTTGGAGTAGCAGCGGTCTTGAGGTCTTGATGAACTTGGCTGTCGGCACAGCCGATTGGAACTTGAGCTGGAGGCAGTTGAGCTCTTGAAGCAAACGTCGCATGTAGACAGCCTCCTTGGCATCCTCGGAAAGCGCCTTATATTCTGCTTCGGTAGTAGTGTGTGAGACAGTGGGCTGTTGCTTGCTTGCCCAAACAATAGTTCCAGAACCGAGTTGGAATAGGTAGGCACCAATTGACCGCCGAATGTTTTTTTCAACTGAGATCATCTGCATTTGTGAAACCTCGGAGCTGTAAAGGAGTGCCACTCTGGTACAAAATGCCATAGTACTTATGTATGTGAATCAGAGCTAGCCAGTGTGATTTCTTAGGGGAATGCATGAATCTACTAACCAGACTCACAGCATATGAGAGATCGGGTCGAGTATGACATAAGTAGATAAGTTTACCAACCAGGTGACAAAATTGGGATGCATCAACTGAGGGCGCAGAGTTGTCAGCCTCAAGAACAATACCCATTAGTAGCGGAATGGTCTCGGTCATACCATCAAAGATGCATGCGTCAGACAACAATTCGATTGTGTACTTTTGTTGATGCAAAAATAGATCACCATTAGCGGACCGGTTAAAGTCAATCCCAAGGTAACGATTGATCAAACCCAGGTCTTTCATCTTATACTTAGCACCCAACTGAAGTCTGATTTCTACAACTCTCGTGTTACTACTGCCGAAGATGAGAAGGTCATCTACATATAGCATGAGCATAGTAATTGTAGAACCTTCTCGGAGAAAATACAAATTCAAATCAAGGTGGCTACGGTGCCAGTCAGAGGTACAAAGGTAGGTATCTATCTCGGCATTACATTCTCTGGGGGATTGTTTCAAGCCTTATATGGATATGAGAATACCACATATCTTGTCTTCGTGACCCTCAACTTCAAAACCGGGAGGTTGTTGCATATATACAACCTCCTTAAGCTTTCCATTAAGAAATGCAGTTATAACATACATGTGGTGGATGTCCCTTACTAGAGATATTACAAGGGCAATCATAGCTCGCAAGGTAGATCAGCAAATGACGAAAGCAAAAGTTTCAGTTGAAGTTGACACCAAACCGTTGCTCAGATCTTGAGCAACCAATCTGGCTTTTAATCTAATGCGCTTAGCGTTGGTCTCTTGATTGGTTTTATAAAACTAGGAGAGTGTAGAGCCTTGCATCCAGGGGGAGGTGAAATTAACTCCCAGGTCAGATTTCAACCAAGGAATCAAACTCTTCATGCATAGCACATTGCCAGCCTTTGTGATGTTTAGCCAAATTGAACAAACTTTTATCATCCACCATCTAAGTTGATTTGACCAAGTTAAGAAACTTCTTACGTGTCATGTGAAATTGATCGTAGTTACTAGGCAGCGTGCGATTTTAGAAGGGATTGCGCCTTGGTATTGTGCCGTGAGAAGTTGATAACAACTTTGCCGATGATTGAGGGTAGCTCGCAGAAAGATCATGAACCTCTGATGGAAGAAATTTTGGCCGTGGTGGTGATGCCAGACTCGTTGTGGGCAGCTCGGTCACCGGTTTGTCTTCGTAGTCATCCATATCACAAAAGACATCAGAAAATTCATGTTGGGCCTTAAAAATGCATGGTGTGTCTTCAAAGAAACCAACATCGTTGAAAATTACTACCTTACTAGCAGTTGGGTTCCAACAACGGTAGTCACGGAAGTTTTCATCATAACCAAGTAGTACTCCGGGAAATGCTTTTACCTCCGATTTAGTTTGCTTTGCCTGAAGTATATGCACGTATACAACGCATCCAATTGTTCAAAGATGTGAAAGATTGGGTACACAAACAAACATATTTTTGCAGGTAGTAGACAAATGTAGTGTTTAAATATCACGTCTATTACGTACATAGTTGATCGCTCGTATTGTCTCTGTCCAGAGATGGGCAAGGAACTTACAAGAGTTGAAGATACATCAAGCATATTCAATAAGTGTACGAATCTTTCACTTAGATTCTCCATTCAGATGCGGAGTGTAGGACGTAGTCAGTTGGAGATGGATGTCTTTACTAGAAAAATAGTCTTCGAAGGAAGTCGAGGTGTATTCGTTGCTTGATGTGAGCAAATGTTGGAGACTTTATGTGACCAGTCATGGTCACAAAAGCTAAGATTAGCAACCTTATGCGGAAAGGAAGTTATCACAAGGGCAACAAAATGTTGGAACAAGGTAAGAGTTTCGCTCTTTGGCTTGAGAAAATACAACCAGGTAAATCGTGAAAAACCCTCGGTGAAAGTGAGTACATAACACCAACCAGTAGATCGTAGCGGACCACACAGATTGCTATGTATGAGCTCGAGAGGCTTGATAGCTCGTTTCGCTAATGTCTTCACCTTGGTAGAGCGATGATGTTTGTTGAGGACACAATATTCACATTGTCGTTCCTTCTCGACCTCTAGGTAAGTCACGACATCCACAAGATTTTTTTCAATCATGTGGTGGGCAGTCTGATAATTCAGGTGACATATTCTCTTGTGCCACAGATCGGTAGAGTCCACATGCGTCGAAGGGATTGATGGGATCTTAAAAAAACGCCAACAAATTCGGGAAGATTTGGAGGGCTTGGGTGTAACCATCTTTAGTTAGTTAGAACTAAAGTAGGGGTTACTCTAAATATTGATGTAGATACTTTAGTGTGCACTAGTCATAGCTGCCACGTCAGCGATCCGCGCACTTGGTAGTTACACAGTGGATGTGTTAGTTGACAGTGCCACGTCAGCAATCCGTGTACTT